AATCAAATCAGATGACATAAAATTAAGTTGAACTTTCAAACCTTTGTATTTTAATCCAAAGTAACAACAAAGAAATGAAATATTGTATATTTTTCAGAGACAATGCTTACTTAACCAAACTTGTTTGTGGTATATATTTCGCACCAATGCACATTACACACATTAGAAAACAATGTACACTATAACACTATTACACATTACACATAACTGAAAATATTATTCGATTATTTCCAGCAAAACTAGTATCTTAAAACATACTATAATTAACAATTTTGCATTAAAGGCTAAGGACGCCGTGTGACGCGCGGCGCTTCTTGTGGCATGCGTCATGCATAGAAGTTCATAGAAAGTTCTAGAATCCTATACCTGCAATACAAGATAGTGAGTTGCTACAATACCATTGTATATCTTCGTGGTGTAATGGTTAACGTCAGAGCGTTTTAATTTTGATTTTGGGGTTCAAATCCCAGTCCCTTTATTATTATTTTTTTATTTTATAATTGCATGAGTAAATACAATTGAAGTTTTCAATTAGTTTTATATATATCGGACAGTATTTAAAATAAATTACCCTGTAACATTTATAACTTTTTTATAATGAAAGGAAAACTGAATTTTTATACTATTCTCAACATTTGAGGTTTTCATAAAGAAACCGTATAAAGTATTATACATCATTAGAATTGTCTCAAAATTCTTAGTTTTTCTTCCACATATCACAACTTAGTATTTCAAACGGTTTGGCCTATGGGCGAGTTGCAGTGCTAAAATTCAAGAAAAATTGAAAAATCTGAAAATAATTATACGAACACACATATTGAATTATATATCATTTTATTCGTAATTTTATTCCGCATCTTTCGTCCGAATAAACTTTTTACGTATCTTTTACCTTTTAATTTGTAAGGGTGAATAATTACATGGTTAAATATTTACAGCCATATATATCATAACATGCAAACAATATTTAATAGTCAATTATAAAAAATGTTGCATCAATATTCATTTTTTATTTTGAGGACAATATTTATTAGCTTATGATAAAAAATATTGCATAAATATTTATTTTTCAATTTGATGACAATATTTTGTACCTGATGATAAAAAATGTTGCATCAATAATTTCATTTCAATTTGTGGACAATATTTATCAGTCGATGATAAAAAATGTTGCATCAATATTTTTATTTCAATTTGTGAACTATATTTATCAGCCGATGATAAAAAATATTGCATCAATATTTATATTTCACTTTGGGAACAATATTTTGTAGCCGATGATAAAAAAATATTGCATCAATATTTATATTTTAGTTTGAGGACAATATTTATCAGCCCATAATAAAAAAATATTGCATCAATATTTCTATTTTATTTTGAGGACAATATTTATCAGCCGATAATAAAAAATATTGCATCAATATTTCTATTTTAGTTTGAAGACAATATTTATCAGTCGATGATAAAAAAATATTGCATCAATATTTATTCTTCTATTTGGGGACAATATTTATTAGCCGATGATAAAAAATATTGCATCAATATTTCTATTTTAGTTTGAGACCAATATTGGACAAGGCCATTTATAGAGATTATTGCCTCAATATCAGCTGACGTTGGCCTGATCGATTAGTTGACATCATCACAGAACCGACGTTCGCCGATATTTTTGCAATATAGGCAATCACGGCCACAGAAAACCGATATTGGTAATATATTGTACCGATATTAATTTCTACATGGGTAATTTGTTATTGTATATGTAAAAATTTAAACTTTATCGCCTTTATAACGTAATTGTTATATGTTGATGTTCTAGCACCCCGCTATTATTTTACCTGTTTAACAGTTGATCAATACAATTATATAAACATTTACGTTAATTTTTTCAAATACTTTTTAATAATTGTTTGGTTGGTTTAAGTACACAAAAAATTACACATAATCCAAAAGAGCATAAAATACATAAATTTTAAATACATTTAGAAGATCGAGACGATTCGCGCATTCGAGTGATATTAATCAAATGATTCTTATCTTCTATCGTTGTCGCACTACCGAAATATTTTTAAATTCTTATTTTCAATTCAAACTCTTTAGAACATCAAAAAATTCCTGTATGTTCATTATTGCTTGCAATAATATTTTTAAATTTTTAAATATTTCTAACGCATGTGTAATAATAATATTTGGGTTATGAAATGTTTTACTAATTTATTTTGGGTATTTCATGCGATTTATTTCATTGAGCAAATTATTAAAAGCAAAAAAAATCATTATTAAATATAATACTGGCTTTTCGTGTTGGATTATTTCAAATGAATTTTTCATTATATAAAACATCCAAAATTGCATCGTAAACTTCTACTAATTGATATCTTTACTTTCCTTTTTTAACGTTAAATTTTGAACGTATTTTAAAATAATTGTCCAAAGATTAGTAAGTGATGCAAAGAAATTACATATTTCTTGATTGATGTTGAAAAAACTATATTATAATTTTGAAATCCGAATCGCGTGTTGGCGCCTTTTAATGGTGCCTATCAACTAGGCAATTTATTATGGAAGCAATCGGCGGATTTATTATTATTCATTATGGAATGAGCAAGAGGCAGATACAAAATAGAAATGAAACATGATGTCATGAGCAATATTTTCGATTTCGCAAGACATCACCTATTATATGTTTCAACAAGCATTATGAAAAAATTAAAAGTACAAAAGAATCGTTAGCACCCGCGTTGAAGATTTTTATGAAGATCCGTAGTAAAATGACAAAAATTAATAGTTCATGCAATCGAAATGATTTTCGCGTTTCTGGCGGAAATCGGAGCAACCAGATTTACCTGAATATTTTGCCAATTTTATGAGACCAAAGTAATAAAATGATCCGAAACGATACCTTTTTTCATAAACTACAAAAATATATTTTTAAAAATTGCCGTAGTAAAATAACAAAAATTAATAGTTCATGCAATCAAAATGATTTTTGCGTTTCTGGCGGAAATCGGAGCAACCAGATTTACCTGAATATTTTGCCAATTTTATGAGACCATAGTAATAAAATGATCCGAAACGATACCTTTTTTCATAAACTACAAAAATATATTTTTAAAAATTGCTGTGGGTAAAATATGTGTCCATATTTATTTTAACATAATGTAGAATTCAAATCACATTGCACGACCCTTTCTTGTTATGGGCATTATTGTGAATGTAGACGTATATTCCAAGATTAAGGCCATGTTTCAGATTAAAATTAGGCGCTAATATAATGAAAAACGTGAATATTTTGTTATCCAACTGCTATCATTGAATTAATTCCGTATTCATCTTCTGCAAATGTACAACATTAATGTTAAATAAAAAACTTTAATATAAGTATAAGAATCAATGTTTAAATCAAATGAAAGTGAACTAAAACTTACAACAAAAGTCGATTTTATCTCATTACACGTTCGAAATATATTCAATGTTCAAGATTTTTTTTTTTTGTATTATTTCTAATAACCAATCTGAACCTTGGGTACAGGGCCTTTAGAAATTCCCCCAGTGGGGAATTTCCTTACATAAATATATTAATTGTTAATTTGTTCAAGAAAAATGAATGAAATTTTATTCGATTGTCTGGGACACCGAAAAATTTTACAACTGGGCATTTATTGGTCATTTTGTCATAAATTGCTCGGATGCCTGGTTGCCTAGTGGGTGGGTACCATAAGGTGTAAGCTTCCATTTTTTGCATGTATTGCATTCATATAGATATCTTATGCATGGCATCATTGCATTCGATTAGATATCAATTAGGAGAAGTTCATGATGCAATTTTAGAAATTTTATATAATTATATAATTGAATTGAAATAATCCAATATGAAGAATCAGTGTTATGTTTAATAATGAAAGGCTAGATTTTTTTTTTGCTTTTAATGATTTGCTCAATAGAATAAATCACATATGTAAAATACCTAAAATAAATAAGCAAAATGTTTCAAAGTCCAAATATTATTATTACACATGCGTTAGAAATATTTGAAAATTTAAAAATATTTTTGCAAGCAATAATGAACATGCTGAAATTTTTTGGTGTCCTAAAAAGTTTGAATTGAATATAAGAATTTAAAAACAGTTCAGTAGTGCGACGACGATAGAAGACAACAATTTCATTATGAGCACCCGAATGAGCGAATCGCCTAGATCTTCTAAATATATTTAAAAGCAATGTATTCTATGCGCTTTTGGATTATGTGTAATTTTTGGCGTACTAAATTCAAAATTATTAAAAAATATTTAAAAATTAAGTTAAATTTTTATATAATTTCATTGATCAACTGTTAAAATAGGTATAATAATAGGGAGGTGGCGCTAGAACATAAACATATAACGTTATAAAGACGATAAAGTTTGTTTTTTTAAATATGCAATAACAATTTCATTTATTTATATTATAATAAATATACTAAATACTGATCCATCGCTTTTCATGGCATAAAAGATGACACACAATTAGCACGTCGCTCAGAGATTCTTCATGACCATAAGCGCTTATAACCGCCAATAATGCAAAAAGTGTAATAACCTAAATTAATATTAATATTATTATGAAATGTAAAACTAATCTTATGAGATACCATTTAATTAAATGACAAATAATGTCAAATGCTAAATTGAATGTTTATTAACCTTAATAAATGCCATGTTGATTTTGTATAATAATTTAACTATACTGATACATTTTCATAACATTGTGGGTTTATATACGATATATGTCTTTTAAGAGAATGCCGATAATAAAATATTATGCAAACCTCATAACACATAGATAAAACAAAATCATTGAGAAATTCACATGATGAATTTATTGCGGGGTTAGCGCCTATCAACCGCGACCTTGCCACTCGTTCCGAACTATTTAGCAGACTGGCTCATCAAAATTTTGTATAAAAGTTGAGAATATCATGAAAAAATATCAATTGACAGCCAATCAAAATAGTGTTAAGCATGACATTCGTAAAGGTGAATATATAAGTTTATAATATATTTAAAAGATTTGTTACCATTTTATTGATTTAAATACGATTAAAAAACAATTATTTACTATATAGTTGCGTGATTAAAATTTGTTACTCATAAAATTTAAGGTTATTGTTCTTTGTGCCTCGCTGGTAGTAGTAAGCGCTTATAGTCATGGAGGATCAGCTGTGAGCTACTCAACGGTGTCTCACGACTCACCGGTTAGATATCATAATTACGGAAACCTTGGCTATGGGCACCACAATTATAGGCACCATGAGTACCAAAACTATGCTGCTCAAGAACATGGATATGGATATGGCGCCCAAAGTTACTCAAATCTAGTAAACCACAACAACCACTACGCTCATGGATATACTGGTCATGGCCTTAACCACGCCAGCCATGAATTAGTTTACTCAGGACATGGCTTGAACTATGGTCACAATGCCTACGCACAAGGACAAGATTATCATAACGTAAGTTTGAAATTATGTACAATACATAAATTTCTGTAATAATTTGATCTTTATTTATTTTTGTAGACTTATCCCCAATACTCATTCCAATATGGTGTAAACGACCACCATACCGGAGATGTCAAATCACAACATGAAGTTCGTGATGGTGACGTAGTAAAAGGTGACATACAAGTAGAAATTTTCGAAATATAAAAATATTTTATATGTTTGAAATAATCATTGTTATATCTTAGGTCAATACTCATTGGTTGAACCTGATGGTTCCGTACGCACCGTTAAATATGCAGCCAACGACAGAGACGGTTTCAATGCAGTCGTTTCTAAAACTGGACCGACTGTACATTCCCACGGACATCACGGTTATCACTTTTAACGAAACAATAAGATTTGCTACTGTACATGATCAAAATACCAAGGAATAGCATGTACTTTATTAATAGTCATACCAATAAATGTTCAAATATAAAATTGTTTTTTTCTGTAATGATAAAATATGGGTTGAAACTTGTTTTGTATATATATGTATATATATATATATATATATATATATATAGATATTTGTGTGTGTATTAAAAGAAGTTAATTTGCAATGATTGTGATTCCATCCACATAGGTGAAACTGGGCAGAATTTAATCAAAAGGTTGAAACAACATGATAATAACTCAAAAAAATTGCGACAAAATCAAACCATGATTACAGACCATATTAAAATATTCAAACATTATTTTAACTTTTATAATGCTAGCATACTTCATCACGAACGGAGCATCATTCAGAAACGATTTGCTGAGTCCTGTTTCATCAGCATTAATAAATCTTGCAATAATAAAAGGATTGATACCTCCTTACTCTGTGAAAATTATCAGGTGATAATACTATTTCCATATTTGTTTCTTTTTAACTAGCTAAATTCCAAACCTGTTAACGTTTCTTATGCTGAACGATCCCGAACTTTGAGTCTTAGTCTTATTCATACATACTTTGAAACAATGATTGTAAAAAACCCGCCGACTACTTCACAAACAGTCTCTTCAAATTTTCAATGCACATGTGTCATTATTGCCTCGGAGTAAAACGCATTAACTAACAAGTTCGTGCAAAATATATTCTATTACATATATATATATATATATATATATATATATATATATATATATCTTCTATATATATAAAAATAAGTCGGGTTTTCCTTCCTGACGAAATAACTCCAGAACGTACGAACCGATTTCGACAATTTTGCATTCGTTGGAAAGGTCTCAGGCTCTGCAAGGTTTATAACTAAGAAAATTAGTGGTGCATGGCATCGTGCCCTAATGCAAATTGCTGGAACTTCACGCACCGTAATTAAAAATTTGAGTAATGAAAATAATCAACAATTGTTTTAAATAATTTCAAATAGATTATCTACATATATATAAAAATAAGTCGGGTTTTCCTTCCTGACGTTATAACTCCAGAACGCACAAACCGATTTCGACAATTTTGCATTTGTTGGAAAGGTCTCGAGCTCTGCAAGGTTTATAGCTAAGAAAATTAGTTGTGCATGGCATCGTGCCTTAATGCAAGCTGCTGGAACTTCACGCACCGTTAATAAAAATTAGAGTAATGACATTAGTGAGAATTATCAGAATTATGCTTGGTTAAGTCAACGAGCAATTCTTGCCGCAAAGAATAATGATGTACACGCACTGAATTTCACAATTAAATCAAAAATTGCTGTCGATTTGGTGACATACCAATGATTCCGACTGGTCTTCCGTTTGACTTCAAACGATTGCAATTTCCAGTTCGCCTTGCGTTCGCAATAACAAATCGCAAGGGCAATCGCTTAGTGTTTGTGGGATGAATTCCAAATAGATTATTTAGAAAATCATTGTTTTTCACATGGGCAGTTATACGTTGCCTATTCACGAGTTGGAAAACCATCCGCTTTGTTTGTGTTAACGTCAGACCAAAAAATGTGGTTTACCAAAAAGCACTTCAATGAAACGGATAATTTGCGGATTCACTTTCATTTACTTAGAGAAGTCCAACTAAAAACACTTCATTTTTGTAATCGAAATAAATTCATTACTGTTGTATAATAAAATCACATTTTTCCTTTTCAAATATAAAACAAACAAAAAATTCTTCATCTTTCTCACGAAACCATCTGGTGGCGAAACAGAGTTTGTCGGGTTTGTTAGTCTATTATATAAAAATAAGTCGGGTTTTCCTTCCTGTCGATATAACTCCAGAACGCGCGAACCGATTTCGACGATTTTACATTCGTTGGAAAGGTCTCGGACTCCGTGAGGTTTATAGCAAAGAAAATTGAAGAAAGATTTCATCAGAAATGCGGAAAACACTTTTCCTTTTTTCACATGCAGCGTCATCTCTGATACTTAGCATGTACTACAAACAAATATTTTTTGTTTGACTGCTACTCATTTGTTTGACAGCTACTCATTGTTCTCTGCTCAGTTAATTTCATGTGACAAACCGGCATTGTGTTCACTGTGAAATTGTGCAAAAAAGTAAAAAAAAAGTTATTCGTTTCGTAACATTTCAATTGGAAACCATCAAATCAATCACGTGTATTAAGCAAATTTTTATTCAATTTCAACAGTAGATAATTTTTTTCTTCATCTTTTAATCACCAAACGAAATGTTACATAAAATGAAACCATCTGGTGGTGAAACGGAGTTTGCCTGGTTTGCTAGTATATATATATATATATATATATATATATATATATTTATATATATATGCATTGTGTATATGTATATTTATGTATGTGTATTGTGCTTTTGTATGATTTTATATATTTCTTTTTACCTTCATTTCTTATGTCTGTCTATCTATTTAGTTTTACTTGTTTTTGTTGGTTTTATTATAATACTTGTATCTATAGTTCTTTTTACAATTTCTGTCATTTTTTCCTAGTATATATCAATTTCTCAATGTTCATTCCGGAAGATAAGACACACCATGGTCTCGAAACGTCTGTAATCATAAAATAAAGTTGTGTTAAACAAATCTGAGTGCTGTTTTGTTAATATTAAACAATTATATATATATATATATATATATATATATATATATATATACTCGTATATTAGGTTGTCAAATATCTCCCTTCCGCTTTTTTGCTCTTCGTTTATAATACAAAAAGGCGGAAGGGAGATATTTGACAACCTATTATATATGTGTGTGTGTGTTTTTTTTTGAAGTATGTGATTTTGGTGTTGATATATATTTTGATGAGTTATTTTGTTTCGGGAAGTGACACCAAATAAAAAAACTAAATTGTCAAAAATCACTAGTTTTAAATTTTCCAATTATTAATAGCTTGGTTTATTACTGTGTAATAGTGTAGTGTATTTTTGTGCTATTAATTTTCTGTAAGTATTTATGTATAAGTCTATAATTTCATATCATTTTCCTTCTACATTTTTATAAAATCTTTAAGTTGTTCCACTGAATGACGGTTTCGAAGAAGACCGAAACGTATGGCTAAACAAAATTTTTACAACTGCTTTAGTTTTTTAACTAGGTGTTACTGCCCGAATCGAAATAACTCATCACTATATATATATATATATATATATATATATATATATATATATATATTTGAATAGTCTTGAATTTGATGTTGATATAATGTTTAATTTGAATTAAAAAGTCGGCCGTTACACCAATAAAAATAGCAACAATAATAAATTTAACAGACCACGCTATACTACAAAAATTTCTGGGACACCAACATTGACCTGGTAATAAGCACACTAAAAATAACTCTTACCTTACAAACATAATTAACTCAGTCATAAATAACAGACGCAACTACCTTTTCACAAACAAAACGACCTCACCGACCATAAAAACCGTTTAGACTTGGAGTCATATACTGGTGTCATTTGCCTACCATATGTAAAAGATTCGTATTCTTCGTGAAAAAAAAACTGTTTCGTCAATGTGGCATTTTGTTGGTATGTAATTGCGATACAACCCTTAGTTCAATTTTTACACAAATTAAATCTAAGTTTAATTTTGACTGCCTCAGGAACTTGGTATATCAGATTAATTGCTCTTATTGTGATCTTTTTCATATCGGAGAAACTAGTCAAAACCTGAGTAAACGCCTTCATCAACATAAAAATAACTCAAAAAATCCCAAGCAATTTAAGACGATGTTAACTGAGCATATTAACTTAAATCATAATATAGATTGTTTCAACCCAAAAATTTTACATTTTGAAGAGAACTTAAAAGAATATTCGCTGAGGAGTTGTTTTTGCAATTGCATAACGACAAAGTCATAAACAAACGCTTCGACACTACAGTCCTGAACGAAACAAACACGTGGTTCCTTAATAGCGTGTCAAAATTTCTTAAAAAATGACAAAATCCCATCGCTTTTTAACCCTTTCGACTCGGATGCCGCTCCGGCGGCATGATATGTTTTACCGTTCCGCTCGGGTGCCGCCAATTATTATAAAACGTACAATTATTTTTTTTTATTTTTTTTTAAATTAATTTACTATTACATTCATTTATTGATTGATTTATTAATTTTATAAATAAATATATAACAAAATTAATTTTTTAGGCCATGATCCCCATAATATTCTAATAAAGATCTGTGAAGAAATGATTTTTTAAACAATATAGCATGGTTTTGAGTGCAATTTTTTTTAAGTTTCAAAATTTTCTGTTTTATTATCATAATAACTATATTTAAAAGCAATATAACCACATTTTGAAAAAATCCGATAAAAAAAAAAATTCCGAGTTGTAGTGCAGTAAACGGAGCGTTTTAGGTCTGAATTTTTTTACTGTGCTCCGAATTTCATGAAATTTTGGAATTAGGTTCATCTTACCCTCAAGTTCAAAAGTGAAAACAATTCGGGTTCCGCCACCACCCCCCGTGGGGACGACACCCCTTCTCAATTGTGTAATTACATTTTTTCAAAATAACATCGGAAATCGATAGAAGAACTAATTATAAGAAAAAAATGTCTTCTATAGTTTTTCAAAAAAACTAATACTTTTAAAGTTACTGGCCAGTAAAGATTCATATATTTTTGGCGTTTTTCTTCTTTTAACGAAACTTTTTTTTTCAATTTGCGCGGCCGCGCAGTCTTTAAACATTCAGAACTCTGTCAATTTTTGTGTGAAAGAAAAATAATAAAAACCAATAATAAGCCAGAAAGATTCCTTTGATTTTTATCTGTATGCTTTTATACGTATCTTTTATTCTTTTTGAGATATCAGGAAAATAATTTCGATTTAAAAAAAAATGGAAAAAAAGCTTTTATAAAATCGTGAGTTTTCTGAAAATAGTTTGTACCAAAGTAGTGAATCTGCTAGAATCTATCAAGATGTCTAT